CTGCAAAGTTTTGTCCTTTTTTTCTTTCCCCTCTTTTTTTCCCTGGCAGAGGGACCATATTTCATAACTCGGGCCACGGTTTGAAGTGATTTCGAGAGGAGTTTTAGACTCGAAAAGTGGGAAATAAAGAAACAGATGTGAAGTTATTGTAAATTCTTATAGTGGGCTCTGGGGCTATTGTAAACCCACTGCAGGCGGTCCAAAGCCTCTCTTTTTCATGCTGTAATTGAAACATATTAATTAGATAATTTGTTGTTAGTTTAAAAGAAAACAAATACAGCCCCTCCAAGGCTTCACAGCCCCGGCTTCTTTTTGTTAATAAAAACAAAACAAAAAACCACAATCCACAAAGTGACATTTATATTAAGATTCCGAGCTAATTCGGCGCTGGGGGGTGGGGGGCTGTTAGAGTGAAGCTGCTCAGTTTGTTTCCCTCGCCCCAGCCCCACTTTTGCTCGCAAACACCTCGATAGAGGGGTCAGTCCGGAGGGGGAACTTGTCACATGTAGCGAGGGGGAGAAGACTCAAAAGATAAAGAAAGAAAGGATTCCCATTCCGTGAATCACTGACAGGATCGCAGCATCCCGGTTCCACGGGTTTACCGAGCACAGCCGGGCTCAGCTCCATCCTCCGGGAGGAAAGAGCTTTTGCCTAGAAGGAACGGGCTCTGTGCATGAGTGCTTATAATGGCATAAAATAAACCTTAAAGGCATTCCCCCGGCCCTCCGGAATGCCGAAACCCGACGGAGGGCTCGGCCTCGCTGATGCTGTCGCCCCCGCGCCCCTTCCCTGGCTCCGGCTGCAGCCCCGTGTGTATTGACATTGGACTTGAGCCACCAGGAAGACTGAACGAGCCGGAGCAGTAAATTCGAGCGAGGCGCTGAGCCGCGGATTTGTTTGAAATAAGCAGCGCACCGCTTCAGGGAGCGCGTAGGGATGCGCGCTGGCGGCTGGGAGGTCCCGAGCTTGGGCAGAGAGAGAGGAAGAGGAAAACGGCGCTTTAAAAGTTCGGGTCGAGTCTTGCTACAGGGTTACGTATCGAGGAAGCCAGTGCGCCTTTTGGAGCTATTTCCCGTTGGGGCACGATCTGTTCAGATCGTTATCGCCCCTGATCACTGTGTCTTTTTAAAAAAGACCCTGAAAGTGCAGTTTCACTTCTTACTGAGCTCGGGTTTCATCAGTGAGGATTTGTTCTGACTGCTAGATCTTACAAGGGGGAAAAGGAAGGAAGGAGGAAAAGAGTCCTCCTCGTCTAGAAATGTGGGTCATCGCTTGGTTAGGAAAAGTTTGTCGAGTTATGTGTCCATTGATCTGGCGATAAGTTGTGAATGCTTTCTTTAGCTGATCTTGTTGATATAATCGTGGGCTGGACTTGATGAATGAGTTCAGTTGTCCCCCATCTGACAAGCTTTAGCAGCTTCATGCATTTTAATCAGCCCAATGATTCATGTATTTTCCACCTTTTTTCTGTGTGTGGGATCCGTTCTCTGGAAAGAAAAAAAAAAGAAAAAAAAAAAAAGGTGGCAACCGGATTCATCACCCTCCGCGTTAATCTCGGGGCTTTGGTCCGTGGTGAGGAAACGGGCATGTCCCGTGGTCATGGTTCAGGGGTTCGGAGAGCTCGGGTAGGGGCAGACCCCGCAGCACCGCGGCACCACACAACGTTCTTTCCTCTCTAATGACCCCTCAGGTGTCCGGGGGTCCCGTACCTGCGCGCCCGGTGCCACATCTCCGCCACACCGGTTCACTCCGTCGCGTCTGTCATTGCCAGAGGTTGCGGAATCCTTGTAAAATCCGTCTTGGTAAAAGAGACTGCCTGTTGGCTTAGGGAAAACCGGGGACAATTGTGAGGGTTACAGATTGCAACCCACCGCCTTGGGAAAGTAGGATCTATAGAGACAGAGCGTTGATAGCAGGGGTTGGAGTGACTGCCTGGCTTGAGGTGGTTTAACGACAGGTAGAAGGCTGTGGGAGCTCGCCGGTACCCGAGCAAGATTTCGAGATGCCACTTTTAAGAAAAAACCCAACTGACAAAATTTCAGTGTTCTCAGCCTTTGAAAGTATCCGATTCTTTATAGATTTTGATGTTTGCTCTGCATTGCAGAAGCTCGATTTTATACTTTTTAGAGAAAATTTAACTGGTGGTGTGTAGGTGATAAATACATATCCACACAGGAGTAGATGTGATCCCTGTTTATATGCGGTCTAATTGTATAGGACACAAACGCATGTGTGTGTATGGATATATGTTGAGATCTATCGGTACAGAACCCCCAGAACATGTGCTCATGTGTGTCACCTCCTCTGTAAACCGGTGATAACGACAGTTTTATCCAGCGTGTTCTGGTATGTAAATAACGACATTGATAGTAACCTCCCTGAAAGGCTGTTCATATGGTCTAGATATTGGCACTTCATTCCCATGAACGAATGCTTCGACTTCCCTCGTGTAAACTCTTTAAAAAGACAAATAAGAAACTAAATCTGCATTTCCATATTTTAATGAGAAAATATTATTTGGACGACTAGGTTCATAATTTAACGTAGACACTTTCTTAACCTTTGTCTTAAAACACACATGCTGGGAACAAGAACACCAAGATTTAAAACGCCATGCTCATTCTGTACAGAAAAAGGTGAAAAAGAAACATCTTTACAATTCCAATAGACACTAATGCCGTTTGTGAGGGGTTTTCCTTTTTTTTTTTTTTTTTTTTTACTTTTTCTTTTTTTCTTAAGCAGTTCACAACAGAACAACAGTTCAGTTTCCAGCAAACTACCTAAAACTAGGAAGGAGTATATCAAACAAAAGTGCATTTTACACGATTTAGAACCATTCCTATGCACAAACATGTACAGGTTCCCCAGCCCGCTCTCTCTGTCTGCAAAGCTCCAGCAGCAACCGGGGTGGCCCCGCGGTTTGTACCTGCTGCTGCCGTGTTGCCGGTCACTCCAGCAGCTTTCCTTAAGCCGTGCCGGGTTGTGCTTGGTGAGTGGCGTTGGGTTTGGTTTGTGCTTTTGGGTTTTCAATTGTTACCATTGTTGTTGTTCGGTTTTAAGCTATGAAATAAATAGCCAACAAATTTTAAAAGCTCCCCAAACCTTCCCGTTAACCAGAAGTGCACAGGCAAAGCAACTTCTCTTTCTCTTCCACCTGACGACTACCGTAAACCTCCGCATTACAACAGGTACTGCGAAGGGGCTGCAAGTTCAGTATTTACATTGGAAGAGGTGCTTTGTAAACAAAACGGGCACGGAGCGGGTGAACGAGCGCCCCGCCGCAGCCGGGGGGACCTACCTCCGGGATCCCCATCCGTGCCCGTTCCCTGCGGCCCCGCAGCCTCCCCCCTCGGCGCTCCCGCCCAGCCGGACCCCCACCGCACAAAGGCCCCGGGCACTTCCCGGCTTTTCCACTATCCAAGCGTTTGCTGCTCGGAGACTGGAACCGTCCTCGCTCTCTTGCAGTGAGACTGCAGCCGTTTCATGCTGTTGGTGCGTCTAAAGCTCGGTCCTCCGTAAGCCCCGCTCTTGCCAGACAAAGGAAGGCCAGGAGGCAGCGCCGGGCCGGGTTCACCGGGTCCCGGCAAACCGGAGATGCCTGAAGTACTTTGGGAAAACCAGTGGTGCCCGTGGCAGTTCCTACCGGCGGGGAGCGGGACCGGGCCGGTGCGTTTTGCCCCAGCAGAACAGAAACCAAAGTTCAGGGCCGGGAAAGGAGCCGAGCTTCTAAGGAGGGCACGGCCGGGGCGAGGTGGACAGGGCAGCTCGGGCGAGCGGCAACACCTCGGCTGCCCGCGGGAGCTGTCTGCGCTCGAGGGGAAGAGAAGCGGGAGAAGGGGAGGGAGGAGAGATCCGGGAAAACTCCGGGAGAAGGGGCGGCGGAGTCCGTGCGGGCGGCCCGGGTCAGTGCACGGCCACGGAGTGCAGCGCGGGCGTCGGGCTGGTGAGAGTCTCGCTGGGGGTGGCCGGGCTGCTCTGGCTGGTGGCCGTCTGCGAGGACGTGGGGCTGAGGGAGGGCGGCGAGTTCGAGAGGATGGTGGGGATGGGCGCGGGCAGGGCAGGCAGGGCCGGCACCGCGGCCGGGGCAGGCTTGATGGGGACGGGGATGGCCGGCAGCGTCTGCCCACCGTGGCAGAGAGGCTTGAGGGGGACGCCGTAGGCGCCGTACTCGCCGCTGGCCATGGAGATGGGGGTGGCGGTGTCGATCATGCCGGAGCTGTACATGTGGGGCCAGCCCGTACCGATGGAGCTGCCCACCGTAGTCAACTGGTTGGGAAGGGGGTAGGCGGCCGGCATGGGCTGCATGGTGGAAAAGGCGAGCCCCCCGGGCATCTTGTACTCTCTGGCGATGATGTTCTCGATGGCGAAGGGGTGCTTGAAGCTGGAGGGCTGAGACACGCCGAGGTTGTAGGTGGGCATCTGGGGCAGGTGGGTGCCGGAGGCGGCCAGGGCGCTGAGGCGCAGCTTGGCCTGCTGCTGCAGGTACTGCGCCGCGTCCGACGGCTTGCTGGGCGCCAGCTGCTCCGAGCGCAGCACCTTGAAGCGCTTGCGGCGGCGCAGGAAGCTGCCGTTCTCGAACATGTCCCCGCAGCTGGGATGCAGCGCCCAGAAGCTGCCCTTGCCCGGCTGGTCGGGGCGGCGCGGGATCTTGATGAAGCAGTCGTTGAAGGAGAGGTTGTGGCGGAGGGAGTTCTGCCAGCGCTGCGTATTCTCCCGGTAGTAGGGGAAGCGGTCCATGATGAACTTGTAGATCTCGCTCAGGGGCAGCATCTTCTCCGGGGAGCTCTGGATAGCCATGGCGGTCAGCGAGATGTAGGAGTAGGGAGGCTTCTGGTCGCTGTAAGTGTTTCTGCCCGGGCGAGGCATCTTCGGTGGGGACCCGCGGAGATCTGCAGAAGGGCAGCGACACGGAGGGGGCCGGATGCGGGGTGAGTCCGAGAAGGTTTGCACCGACACCCAGCCTGGGAGCGGGCGGTGTGGGGCCGCGCTGCGGGAACAAGGACTCGGGGAAGGGGCCCAGCGGCGTTCGGCCCCCGGGGGGCAGGATGGGGCTGAGGGAACCGACCCGAACTCCGCAGAGCCGGCAGCGGAAAGCTCTGTGTGCCCTTCTGCCAGCGCCAGCCCCCTCCTCTCGGCCTCCCCGCGGCAGCCCGCGCCCCTCAAGTTACCCGGGTGGTAGCTCTGCCTTCTGGTCCCGGCGAGGAGGAGAAGGGGATCCCCTCCCCTCGCCCCGTCCCCCACCCCTCTCTACGCCAGCCCCGCATATGCCCACCTTAAAGTTGCTGGAAGTTGACAGTCCGCATCCGGGACGCAGCCGGAGTCCGGGCTCTTTCCCGCCCCGCTCCTTCGGCGTGTCTCCTGCTCCTTCCCCGGCCGCTCTGCTCCGGTTTAGTCCTGAGGAGGCAGCGAGCTGGCTCGGGGTTGGGAATCCTCGTGCACACCCTTCCTTCTCCTTTGCGGGCTTCTTTTACACCACCGGCGGCTGGGCTGTAGCAGAGGCTCGTTCGCTTCTCTGCAGCCACAGTGAGCTAAGTAGTTGCCTCCATGTCCTTCCTCTAACCATCTGATAGTTTTATGTGGTGACATGAGCAGAAAAGACCCCTGTAGAGGCGCTTCATTAATGTGCCACTTCTTTGCTATCATCTGACAATCGCCTTGGGAGCAGGGGGAGGGGAACGGGGAGGAGGGGGCTGGGAGAAAGGCATAATCTGGTTTCATTTACACCTATTTACATGGACACCTTGGGCCAATGGGAATCATTTCCATTTGAAGACAAGGCGAGGGGTGAAAAGGCTCCGCCAGCGGAATCGCGGTGCAGTGGGACCCAGTGCCGGGGGGGGGGCCCCCCCCCCCGAGGAATATGCACTAACCTCACTGTGGACTTTGCAGGAAGCTTAGTCTGCAATTCACACTTATCAGCGGAGGTGCCAAGCAGTGGGATGTTTGACATGGAAATTGCTTGGCTGTGGTATTCTGTTTGTTCTGCATTGTTATCTGATTTGTATTGTTGGCTAACTTGAGGCGAGCCTTTCTCCCTGTAAGAAGAGACTTTCTCTGCCAAATCCGCTCTCCCCGAGCGAAGGTTCTTTCGAGGAGAGAACAGATCAGGGCTTCTCCGCAGCTTCCCATCCCCACCCCCGCCCAGGCAGGGCCGTGGCTCCGTTGTCCCCAGGGCGCTGTACATCACCCCAGCTCCGCGGACCTGTTGGTGCAAAGCTGGGGACTCGCCTTACAACCCCCGGCAGCGGCTGAGTCACGGCCCCGGTGGGCTTGGGCCGAGCTGCCCCTGGGGCGGTCGACCGGTTTGCGTCACCGGTCACTGCTCTAAATACCGGGGAGTGTGTGATGTGTATTCCCGAGGCTGCGGTGCATCCTGTCACCCTGAAACCAGAATATGAGGTTTACTTGGGAGGAGGGAGAAAGAGCCTTGGGGGTGAATACGCATCCAGTCCGTTAAAAGTATTTTCGTAGCCGGTCAATAACTCACCAAAACGTAACTTAAACACGATGAATTTAGGAGATTAAACAGTTTCATTAATATTGAAATGGCTGCTGAGGCTGAGCGCGCCCGCTTGAGATGCAAGCACACGTTTTTCAATATTAACAGAAGTACTTGAGGAAAAGAATAATGTCACCTTCTTAATTCAGCAAAAACAGCCGGGGGGCGGGGGAGAACGCTGCTGCGGGGCTGGCAGCCTTCTCGGGGGACAGTGCCTATGGAGCAGGCCCCCCCTAAACCCCGCAGCAGCTCGGAACATGCTGCTCTCGCGGCGGCTCCAGCTGGTGGGTGTCAAACTGCGGCACCAGCTCCAAACCGCTGCCCTCGGTCCCGTCTAATCCCTCTCTCTCCGGGTAGGATGTCGTTTACAGAATAATTGTCAAATAACTATTTCTCGGAACTCGAGCAGCCCGCCGCGGCCCAGCGCTGCCGGGCTAAAGAGCCCTTTTGGGGGGACCTGCCGCTTGTGTGTCCCCGCTTGCAGAGGGGAACACGGGGGCGCTGGAGCGGTTCGGAGTCCGGCGCTGCCCTCCTCGGTTCCCAGCCCCGGACAGGGAGGGAAGGCGGCCTCCGACTTTTTTGGGGTTGTGGTGAGAAGTGACCAGCCGGTGGACGTTTGTTAGAGGGCAGGAAAGACAATACTCTGAAAAGAGGAGAGATTCCTCCCAGCATCCCTTAGGACACCGGGATTCTGGTTTTGAACAGAGAGACTCCCCAAAACATCTGGGTTTAATGGACACCTCCCCCAAAGTCTAACACCCCTTGGGTCGGGTTTTGTCTCTCAACCCAAATTTGCTACTGTCAAACGCGGAGCTCAGAAACAGCGCGGGAGTGACTAAAATCAGTGGCTGACAAATCCTTTCTCCCCTCTTTCTGCCGGTACCTTTTCTTTTCAAAGAAAGAAAAAAAGCCAAAAAACAACCGCCGGCGCAAATGGGAACCCTCAAGCTGTAAAGATAAAGGAAAGTCGCCTTCCGTTGTCATTTGCTGTCCGGGTGCGATCGAGGTACGGCTGCACTGCGCCCGGGTTGGAGGGTTTGGTTTTATTTTATCCCCCCCACAGTGCGAAGAGCTGAGTGAGTGCACGGGTAGGACAGGCAAAGCCACCCTGGCAACCGGCACCCGGGGGCTCACGTCGTGTGGAGCACGCAACAGATGACGGACCTGGGCAATATAGGGTTTAACTGTGACTTGTAACTTTGCCTTTTACTGTGAAAAGCCAGCGTTAGAGAGGAGGAGGGGGTGCAAGTGAATCCAAATCCATTGTGTGGAAAAACAAAACCAATCGACGTTTTTCTGAAGCCTAATTCAAATAAGGAGCTCAGGGGAAGTGTTGGGAAAACTGTATAAAATACACATAAGTCAATTATATCAATGTGCAAGCCCAATGGAAATCTATTTGGCGCAATAACCATTCAGCCCTTGGATGGAGCCCATCACGGACCACCTTTCTGCATGGAAGGTTTGCAATAGCTTCCTTTCCCACAAGCAGGACCACACACGTTTACAGATTTGGTAATAATTTATGCTAATTTTCCTCCATAAATCCACAATTCGCCTCAGTGGCAAGCGGGGCTGTTGAAAGAGGAAAAGGAGACAGAAAAGTGACAAATGCAATATTGATTTTGAATCCTTGTGGCTGCAAGCAGGTGTGTGGCTGTGCAGAGTGGAGGAGTGGGAGCAGGGCTGGGGGGAGCCGAGAAGTTTTCCAGGAATAAAAAAGGGAGAAAAAAAGAAAGAAAAACTCCACTCTGTGAGAGAGAATAGCTCACAACCTTGTTAATATTTACAAACCAGTTGGGAGAAAAGAGAAGGGAGGGGGGAAGTACCAGCTTCTTAAGGTTTCCTAGGCTGCGAAACACAATGCCAGGCTCCGAGCAAGCTTCCCCCGGTTTGGGAAGTCAGCCCCGGGCTGCCGGTTGCTGTTGCAACTCGGCTGAGCCTCGCTCTTTTTGTTTTCTGTAATGGTTCTGCTTCTCCTGGCTTCTTGGGGGCCGGGCCGGAGAAGGAGAGCTTTGGGCTCTCCGGCTCTTCTCGGTGCTGAAGGTCCCAGTGCGGTTCCCGAAGCGCTCTGGGAACGGCGAGGCTCTGTCCCACCCTCATTCTTCACCGCATCTGCCACTTTGGCGTGAAGCTACTTAGCGCTCTTTCAAAGGGATTTCGTCCCTTGCCCGAGGAGCACTAACCCCCCGCCTGTCCGGGCTGGCTGCGGTCTCCTCCCCCACCTGCGCCAGCGGCCCCTCCGCCCCGCCCGCCGGCTCCTCGTCTCTGCTTCGTGCCGGCTCCGGTGGGCGATGCTCTCGCCCACCCCGTCGTGGGGTTCCAGCGCCGATGGCCTGACCGGGCACCAGCCCCGCCGGGGCCGCACCCGGGGAACGGGGGATCCGCACAGACCGGGGACCCCTTCTGCTCAGGCTGCAGGACCGGGGACGAGGCAGCTCCTAACCGGGGCCCGCGGCGGCCCTGCCCGAGGGAAACAGGTGGAGGGTGCCCAAGCGCCCCGGCCCGGGTCCGCCTGCGTGCGGTGCGCGGTTGTGCGGTGAGCTCTTCTCCGCGCTCCAGCCAGCGCCGCCGGTCGATCCACCCTCGCAGCGCTGCGGTCCCCCCAGACCCGCCGGGGACCCCCCAGGGCGGCTCCGAGGGGTGCCTGGGTTACGCGGGTCCGACACGAGGAGTGCCCCCCTGTTCCCCTCCCCCCGGGGATGCGGGCTCAGCCGCCGCCTCCATGCCGCTCCCGAGCGTTGCGTTATCGCGGGTTCCAGCCTGAGTCTCGCCGTTACTGCCCCGAGAACCTGGCTTTGCAGTAAACTCCCCTTGCCGGGGCCGCTGGGTGTTTATCTGCACGTTTGGGATTTGTGGGTTTGTTTATTTATTTATCTGCAGAAGCATCGGGGAGGCCTCGCCAACTTCTTCTTTTTAATCTCCCTTTTTAAATAAATGTCGCGTTTCAAGCTGCCCCCTCTTCTCTTTTTGGCATTGTAGGAAATATTGAAAATGCCACCTTAGTATTGAAGGGATTAACTTGCTTTTCTCCCAGGCGCTAACTCTGGTGTAAAGGGAGCAGTAGATCAACTGTATAATGTGTGCACTGTTTGGTCATTTGTACAAGCAGAACAAAGGTTGAGCTAAGCCAAATTGCATTGCACTTGTGAACCGAGTCCCAATTTGAAGTATCTTTTACAGCAGGGGGAATGAGAACAATTTCGTGTATGTCTAAAAGGGAATAACAAAGCCACTTTCTAGAGCATCTCAAAGTGAAGTAGTGAGGCGTGACATTCCCAGGGTGAGGAGGGACAAAGGCAGGGTCAGGGGGATGAAAAAGGGAATCAAACAGCCACTTTCACATGTCTGCCCTCAACTGCTGCACCTCTCCATAATAGGAAACAACTGTTGTAAAAAGGGGGATTGCTCCCATTCATTCAAAATAGCAAATGATAGCTAAACAACATTGTCAAAACTGAATCAACTTCTGTGCAGTACCACCCAGAAAAAGGTATTGTG